GTACCAGGTCCATAGGGCTCCACAGCCTTTGTATTTTTTTCTACACCACACTGACCCCATGAAAAGATGAGGTTATTGCCAGATGGCCAAGGGAGGAATGGCATTCCAGGTAGGTGGAATGGAGGGGGCAAAAGCTTGTTGTGAGAGAGGCCGGTGCACTGGGGGGCTGCATGACTGGAGCAGGAATAAAGGGAAGGCTCGTGCGTGGGGTGGATCTCAGCAGCAGAAGAAGAGCAGGCCAGGAGCCAGCGAGGAGGGGCTGGGACATTGACCTGGACATCATTCAGGAGCCAGTTTTGGAGGCTGGGAGCAGGGGAGTTGGCAGTGAAGCAGTGGGTGGGTTTGTGACCTAATACACAAGGGAACCATGAGAACCAGGGACAGGGAGAAAGAAAGCCCCTCTAGTCATGACGAAGGAAAGTGGCCAAGTGATCGGGGTAGCAGGGAAGGAGTCCTCTCCCACACATCCCTCTGAGAGCTTGAGGTCAGCTACTGGGCTGGCTGAGGCACAGAAAGATTTATTTCTTGTTGGTCCGGAAGGAGGAGAAATGAGGTGAGTGAGAAGAGAGACCTGGTGGTCTTTGTGGAACGGGATGAGGGCCAGATTCCAGCCAGGGCTGCTCAAGACGGCTGGCGGTCCCGCTCCGGGACCCAGCTCTGTGCCCACCTCTCCTCTCTCTAGCCCCCAGGCTCCAGGGCTCCAGGACCTATCGTCCAGTGAGAAGGAACAGCAAAGGCTGGGCTCCATCCTGTTCTGCTGAGTGGGGAGGAAATGTGTGCTCAGCACAGACGTTGCACTCCCTCCTCTCCTTGCCCCACAGGTGGCTTTCCCGGGGTGACTGGACAGGCTTTCCCTCCCTCCCACCCAGTCCACCCTGAACCCCTCCCGCCCCTATTCTCAGAAACGGAGCAGAGTCGCTGAGCCTCAGGCAGGATGGCCTTGTGTTCTCTGGTAACTTCACTGTAAACCGACTTCCCTGAAGAGTGGTAGAGGACAAGGGACAGAGGCAGGAAGGACAGACAGGCTTCACCCAGGACCCAGCAGCTCCTTCCTCTCCCCCAGATTCACACAGAATTACTCACCCTAGGTCCTGCTCTGTCTTCAGGGATGAGAATGGGAGCAGCGGAGGACAGCATTTCTTCAGGGAGGTACCAGGATAGGGAGACGGGGAGGAAGGGACAGTGGTGTTGGGAGTGCGGTGTATGCTGAGCATGGGCCTGTGGCCCCCCTTCCAAGAGCTTTGGGGGTTGGGCTGGAGAGGAAGCAGACAATCCCAGCAGAGGCAAGGTGGGGGGAAGCCCGAGGGCTTCAGCTCTCCCTCTGACTGCACAGAGGTACTTCCTGGAATGCTTCCAGCTTTCTTGGGAAGGCTCTTCACCCCCAGCCTGCCTCCTCTCTGGCTCCCGCACGACAGGAACTCTCCTTGAAGAAGGGACTTGGAGCAGAGGAAACAAAGACATCTCTGTACCACCTCCCTCCACCCCTAGGGACGGTTAGGTCAAGGTGACCTCAATCTGTTCTCCCCAGGGAAGGGGGCATGAGCTCAGCCTTCTGGGCTAACCTCTTTGCCAGGGCAGGCTAGAAACTGGACTCGGGATGATTCTTCCCTTCCTCCATAAACTTAAAGCCATCTTCATGTAACACACAGGTCAACAGAGCAGGGGCACGGGCTGGCGTGGAGATGGATGTGCCACACACACTCTGTGCCACAGGACAGTGATGGGCTAGCCCAGCCAAAGGAGGCATCCTTCCTCTGTGTGTGTGTGCTGGGGTTGGGGGAAGTTGAGCAAGGCTATACTGAGATCTGTCTGCAGGGTTGGGCTACTCGGATCCCGGTGCCAGATGTACACTTAATGGCCAGACAGATGGCTGTGGACAGGTCTCCTTTCTCGACTAATCAAAGGGGATTAATGTGACTCTGCCTATCTTCTCAAGGTTTTTGCAAGGATCAGGACAACAATGTTTGTACACCAATGTGCCACGTTCAGGCTGTATGCAGTTCAGTTCAGGCTGTATGCATGGTGTGTGAACTAAAAACGAGGCTAGGGATTATTATTATTCCTAATAACATTAAAAAAATTTTGTGTGGGGGTGGGAGAGTGCAAGTGGGGGAGGGGCAGAGAGAGGAGGACAGAGGATCTGAAGCAGGCTCCTCGCTGACAGGCTGACAGCAGTGAGCCTGATGTGGTGCTTGAACTCATGACCATGAGATCATGACCTGAGCTGAAGTCGGGCCCTCACTGACTGAGCCACCCAGGTGCCCCTATTCCTAATAATATTTTGCGGTCAGTGTTCTTTGGGGGAATGTGTTCCCATGTGATTTTTAAAACTCCTTCCTCACTGCCCATGTAATGTTACGTCTTGGAAATGGGAAAGAGAGGCAATTAGCAGAAGCCAGCCTGGGATCCCAGTTTAGTCCAGACCCTAGAAAGTTTCTGATCTTCCCGAACCCCATCCTGGAGGCCTCAGTTTTCTCCTCTGTAGTCTGGGCCCCTAAAACCACTAGGGTGCTTTGTGGTGGGAAATAGCAGAGACCAAAGCAGAGGATTGAAAGCAAAAAGAAACCCCAAATTTGACATTTCCGGGTAGTTGTGTTATCCGGAGCCATGACCACAATCACCTCTGCCCCCAACCCAACTTTGACACCCTTCCCTCCTTCACTCCCTTGGGTGGCCTTTGCCCATCCTGGGAAAGCTCCAAAGCTCCTCCTCCTCCTCCCCCACTGCACCGCAGAGGGAGGACAGAGGCACAAGGAAATGGAGAGAAACCCAGACAGAATCAGAGAACCAGACAGAGAACAGAGACCTAGAGAGAAAGAATCAAAAGGAGGAGAATCAAAAAGCAAGAGGAGGCAACATGCAGAGGCCAAATGGGGGAGAGAACCAGAGTCAGTGGGGGGAACAACTGCAGCCGCTGGACATGAAGCAGCTGGGGGGTGGGGTGGGGGGGCATAGCATGCAAGCTCACAGAGGGTGCTGGGGCACCTCCATTTAGGCCAACCCTTCTGGTTTTGCTCACTGGCACCTCAGTCCTAGATTTTTAGGACCCTGGACCACCCTCCTTCCAGCCCAGCCCAGCCCAGCCTAGCCAGATGTTTGGTGGGGGCAGCTCCCAGCCGGAGCAGCAGGCTCCTGCAGGCCCTGGGGAGCTGTGGCTGGACAGGCAGCTGCCTGGAAATGAGCAGGCAGAGCTCCCACCCTGGAGCTGGGACCCCCATTGCACCTTCCCCAGATGCCTAGAATCGGGTACATGGCAAGGGTGGTCCTCTGCCCTCCAGATGTGTCTCAGAGGACTTGGAACCCAAGAAATCTCCAAACAACTGGCTTACCCATCTGCTGGAAGCAAGAGGCTGGAGGGCACAGAAGCTACCCTCCGTGTAGCAGTAGGTTTGGATCGGCCACTGACAGGTTGTGTGACACCGACCAAATCACTTCCTCTTTCCAGCCTCTGTTTCCCCATTTGGAAAATCATCTTTACAGGTCTTTCCAGCTCTGACACTTGACTCTCATTCCAGGTGGCCTCCTGGCTCTGTGTGTCGGGCCCTCCTCTGGCAATTGAATTGCCCAGAGTAAGGGAAGAAGCGAGGGAGAAGCCATGTGCCTTCCTCCTCCATGAGACTAAGAGGCTGCAGCCGCACAAGGAAACGTGTGTGTGAGACCCAGTCATCCCAGCTTCTGCAGCTTGAAACTTGGCTTTTCCTCTGAAATCAAAAGAATGAAAGTGGGGGGGGGGGCGGTTTACTGAGGGGCAAGAAGGAGGGGGGGGGGGCTGTGATGGGAGAGAATGGAGAGAAAGGGCAGATCCAAGAAGGCGGAGGGAGGGAGATAGATGAGAATGATTCCCTCCAGGACACATGGTCTTGGCCCAGCTGGGACCTCCCTTGGCGCTGCCGATGCTTGCTGCCAGGCAGAGGGGAGGCCCAGAGGAGAGGAAAGCTGGGCAAAGGCGATGGAAGGCTTCCAGTCCAGCCTTGCCCAACTCTGCAGGGGCTCTCAGGGAGGGGCTGTGACCCAGGCAAGGCTCAGGGAGGCGGATCCCTGCTCCGGCAAGGCCTACAGGCGGTTGTGAGATTGTGAGAATTCAAGACAGCCCTCTGGGGACATTTCTGAAGGTAGGACCAGCCTCAGATGTGACTGGGCTGGGTGAGCAGAGCGGCAGGATCGTTTATGGATCCCAGTATGCCAACTAGGCCATATACCCACTGTGTGACCCTGGGCAAGCCCCTTCCCCTCTCCAGACTTCCATTTCTTATCTGCAAAATTTGGGGGAGGGGTTCGAAACATACGACTGCCAAGGTTCTTTCCTGTTTCCACTGAGTGCAGGGTGGTGGGAGTAATGGAGGGGAGGGCAGGGCCCTGGTGGTGAGCTGCCTTCTCTGGAATCCCCAGTCTTTCCCCTCCCTACGGCTTTGCCGCTGAGGTCACAAAAGCTGTGTCCCCAACCCACATAAACACATACACACACACACACGCACGCACACACGCACACACAGGCACACACATTTACATTTACTTAATCTCCCTTAATCCAGAGTCTCAAAAGATGACGAACGCAGAGCTGGAAGGCGTCTCCAGCTAGTCCAACCCTCTCTCCTCCCTTTATACAGGTGAGAAAACTGAGGCCCTGGTTTGGGATTTCCAGAGCCCGGGGTTTCCCGGCACTCCCACCCCCATACCCCGCCACTCCAGAGCCTTGCTGCCTGCGGGTCCGTGGCCGCCGGCGAGGGCTGCCTGGGACTCCCGGGGGACCCCGCCGTCGGGGCAGCCCCCAGGCGCGGCGCCGCCCAGCCTCGCCTCCGGAGGCCCGGCCGCGGCCGCCGCTGCGCACTCGCCGGGGAGCCAGCGACCGAGGGCGGAGGCAGGGAGGGAGCGACAGAGGCTGGGAGGGGTGTTGGCGAGAGCTCGCGCGCTGTGTATGGTCTATCGGAGGCAGCTGACCTTCGAGGAGGAAATCGCTGCTCTCTGCTCCTTCCTGTAGTAACAGCCGCCGCCGCCGCCGCCGCCGCCGCCGCCGGGAGCCCGGGCCGCGAGCGAGAGCAGCGGGGCTGACAGCCGGCCCCGCCGCCGGACGGCTCGGCGCCACCAGGTGGGTGGCCCGGCAGCGCGTCCCGAGCGGCGCACGAGGAGATGGGACGCTCGACCCCCGGCCCGGGCCCCCGCGACCCCGGACCCGGAGCCCGACGGCCGGCTGGGGAGCGGGGACCGCTGACCGGGACCAAGAGGGAGCTTTGGCGCTGGCGCGCGACACGGGACGAGGACCGAGGGAGGGGGCCCGAGGGTGGGCGCCGTTCCCGCCCGCAGGGGGCAGGGGGCGCTGTCGCGCCGGACTGTGGGAGACCGTGGGGCACGGCTGGGGGCTTGGTGGGGGGGAGGCTCAGCCGAAAAGCCAGCCCTCCCTTCTTAACCACCCCAGCCACGTGCCCGCGGGGACCGAGCGGTTCAGCAGGAGTCGTCGGTGCCGTTGCCCTAACTTTGGTCTTGGAATAATACACACCCCTCCCGCCCAGAAATGGGGACTCGGGGTTCGAGGCAGGGTAGGGGGTTCTTGCAGTCCTCCCCAGAGGGCCCGTGGGCCTCCGCGTCAAGTTTCTCTTTCAGTTTTCTAGCTGTCCCCCTCTGGGGAAGCCCCGGTGGGGCGAGGGGAGAGGAAGAGGGGGAGGGCACCTGACTTTCGAGAGCCCCTCCCCAAGCCTCCGCGGGTTCCTTGTTGGAGGGCAGAGCGGCCTTCCCCTCCTCGCCGTCTTTCTTCCCGCACAGGAAAGCTTGTCTGTGGGAGGGGAGGGGCCTGGCCTGACCGCGGTCCAGGGATGGGTGGTGGGCATGGCAGGGCCAGAGGCAGGCACAGCCCTCGCCTCTGTCGTGGAGACGCCTCTGCAGCCCTCGCTCGCCCTAGGTGAACGGACATGGCGGGCTGGATCCAAGCCCAGCAGCTGCAGGGAGATGCGCTGCGCCAGATGCAGGTGCTGTACGGGCAGCACTTCCCCATCGAGGTTCGGCACTACTTAGCGCAGTGGATCGAGAGCCAGCCGTGGTAGGTGCCCCTCCCTTGCGGGTCCCTACCACCCACCCAGGCCCCTTGACCTTTAGCTCTCCTCTTTGTGGTTTCGTGTGATTCTAGTCCCGGCTGTCCCTCCGTGTGGAAGGGGTGGTGTCCCTGGGAAAGGGGAACAGGGAAAGGGGACCCTGGGAGGGGAGAGGGGGTAATTCTGGACTCTGATGCCTATGGAGTTGCTGGGAACAAGTCTTGTGGGCTCCGGAGTGCCCTTAGCCTGCAGCCTGGGGTTTCCCAGTACCTCTTGGTGCCTGACCTCCCTGCCCAAGGAAGTACGACAGTAGGCTTCTCTCCCCTGCCCTGCCCCAAGGGATGCCATCGACCTGGACAATCCCCAGGACCGAGCCCAGGCCACCCAGCTCCTAGAAGGCCTGGTACAGGAGCTGCAGAAGAAGGCGGAGCACCAAGTGGGGGAAGATGGGTTCTTACTGAAGATCAAGCTGGGGCACTATGCCACGCAGCTCCAGGTGGGTGTGAAGGCTGGGTCATCAGCAGGGAAGCAGTGTCTGCCTTCTCTTTCCAGCATCAGAACCCCTGGGTTTTTTCCTGGCCTGGTCACTGACTCACTGTGTGACCCTGAGCTAATCGGCAACTTTTCTGCTCTTCAATTTCCCCCACCTCCTCTTTCTAAATCAGACCTGTCAGATTCCTTTACCATGAGACAAAGCAAGGGGTAGGCTGTGTTTGTCCCCAAGAGGAGGAAGATGGGTGAAGTGGCATTCTAAACAGACCAAGCAAAAGGGAAGGAGGTAGACTGAGTCAAGGTTCCTTTGCTGGTGAAAGGAAGACTGACAGCCCCTAGAAATGAGGGAATGAGGCAACCAGACATCCATCCTAGGACCCTTAAAAAAATTTTTTTTATGTTTATTTTATTTTTGAGAGAGAAAAACAGAGCATGAGCTGGGGAGGGGCAGAGAAAGAGGGATACCCAGAATCTGAAGCAGGCTCCAGGCTCTGAGCTGTCAGCACAGAGCCCAATGCAGGGCTCAAACCCATGAACTGTGAGATCATGACTTGAGCTGAAGTGGGACGCTTAACCGACCGAGCCACCCAGGTGCCCCCTCCTAGGACTCTTTTAAACGTAGGAGAACCACTGAGTCTGAAGTTGGGTAGGAGAGGAACAGAGTTGCCCTGGAGGCAAGAATTGAATAAAGGAGTCTTGAATGAAGGATTTAGACAGATATAAGAAGACCTTCTTCTTCACTGGCGGGGTAGGGGAGGAAGGGGGAGGAGTATAGAGGAGAGAGGAAGTTTCTGTGGAAGCAGGAAAAGGGTGTAGGTGATAATCACAGTTAAGCATTTATTGGAACTTACTTGTGTTTCTTAAAGAGCCCTTCTTAAATACAAGCAGCAGGATGCCAGGGAAATAAAAAGTCCATCCCAGAAGAGGGAGGAAACAGGAGAAAGTAGGAAGAGGAAGGCAAAATAGGAACCTAGGGCCAGAGGTATGGTAGAAAATACCTTGACCTTGGCATTGGATGCCCCAAGTCTTGAGTCATCTGCAAACCCGTTTGCTTCTGGACAAGTACTTAACCTCTCTGAGCACCAGTTTCCTCATCTGCAAAATGGGGGTAAGAGTTTCTGTGTATGTCACAGAGTCTATACTCTGAAAGTCAAAGGATATGGCAGACTGGAAGTGCTTTGTAAATTGTGGGTTTCTAAGACAAATATGAAGATCTGGGAGGGAAAATCGAGTCAAGGAGAGATAAAGATGTCTGTTGACAGTTCCTGAGGTTTCTCCCGGGAAAGCCAAGGCAGAGGCTGGAGGACACAAAGGTGGTGGGGAGCACGTGGCACTGTGACGGGCATGGTGGGAGTGGGGGGTGGCCAGTGGTAACTGCTATTGGGTTCTTTCAGAACACGTACGACCGCTGCCCCATGGAGCTGGTCCGCTGCATCCGGCATATTCTGTACAATGAGCAGAGGCTGGTCCGTGAAGCCAACAATGTGAGTGTCCCATGGGTGTGAGGAGAGGAGCTGGGAAGTACTTCCACAGGCCTTTTTCTCCAGACGCAACTGTGTGTGTGTTCTTTTTAGTGTTTATTTATTTTTAAGAGAGACAGAAAGAGAGAACAGGGGAGGGGCAGAGAGAGAGATACACACATAAAGAATTCAGAGCAGGCTCCAGACTCTGAGCTGTCAGCACAGAGCCCAATGCAGGGCCCAAACTCACGGCTGGTGAGATCATGACCTGAGCCGAAGTCAGATGGTTAAGCAACTGAGCCGCCCGCGTGCCCCAACACAACTGTGTGGGTGTTTTTTTTTTTAATTTTTTAATGTCTTATTTATTTCTGAGAGAGAGAAAAAGAGAGAGACAGCATGAGCAGGGGAGGGTCGGAGACAGAGGGAGACACAGAATCTGAAACAGGCTCCAGGCTCTGAGCTAGCTGTCAGCACAGAGCCCGACGCGGGGCTTGAACCCTCAAACCACGAGATCATGACCTGAGCCGAAGTAGGATGCTTAACTGACTGCATCACCCAGGCGCCCCACAACTGTGTTTTATAAACGCTGGCAAGAGAGCACCAGGGGAGTAAGGGACATGGGCTAGTGTGAGAAGCAACAGTCCATCAGGCCCCGGATTGGCTACTTACTAGCTTTGTGACTTGAGCAAGTTACTGAGCATCTGTTTTTTCAATTGTAAATGGGGATAGTAATAGTATCTACCTTACAGAGTTAGTGTCAGGGTTAAACGAGATACTGTGTGGGTCAGGGATGTGTGGGCCAAGGATAGACAGACAGACCAGTGAAGCAGAAGAGGAAGCCCTTAACACACACACACACACACACACACACACACACACACGGAAATTCAACCTGTATTATAAATGGCATCACAAACCACAAGGGAAAAGATTTGTCATTTTTTAAAGGCTTATTTATTTTTGAGAGAGAAAAATGGAAAGAGAGAGCATGAGCGGGGAAGGGGCAGAGAGAGAGGGGGACAGAAGATCCAAAGCGGGCTCCCCACTGACTGCAGAGAGCCCGATGTGGGGCTTGAACTCATGAACCATGAGATCATGACCTCACCCAAGTCAGATCTGCAACCAATTGAGCCACACAGGTGCCCCAAGATTTGTTGCTTCATAAATGGTGCTGGTGCGGGGGTACACCTGGGTGTCTCAGTTGGTTAAGCATCTGACTTTTGATTTCAGCTCAGGCCATGACCTCACAGGTTCATGAGATGGAGCCTGGTGTCGGGCTCTGCACTGATAGTGCAGAGCCTGCTTGCGATTTTCTCTCTCCCTTTCTCTCAGTGCCTCTCCCCTGCTCTCTCTCTCTCTCTCAAAAAATAAATAAACATTAAAAAAATTAAAAAAAAAATGGTGCTGGGGTCAAAATTGGAAATGCTCTCTGATGGTGTCTGGGAGGAGACATGGAAGTGAGGTCTGCGTCAGAAGAGCTAACCCTGGCACGCTCAGGTGGGTGAGGCCCAGAGAGGCAGAAAGGGCCTCCTTCCTCCCCCAAGCTCTGCCATCACGACGGCCTTGAACACCTGCTCGGACAACAGGACAAACATTTTATCATCTGCAGTAAAGCCAGATGAATTTCATAAAATGACATCACTTGGTAAAGACCAGGGAATAGTGCCTGCAGCTGATTGACTTGTTCTGGTGGGCACTGATTTCAGGAGTTTTACAGTTCATCCAGTACACGCTTACGGAGTCCTGTGGTGTCTGACGCCAGGCTAGGACTAGAGAAACATGAGGGCCTGGTCCCCACCTGAAAGGAATTCAAGCAATGATAGGCTCTCTAGGGGTGAGCTGGGTACTCAGAAGGCATATATGGACATAAGTCAGGCCGGGGTGGCTTGTCAGGGGGGTGTCCTGAGGACAGGGATGTCTAAGCTACGGGGAAGGGAGGGGAAGGGAAGAAGAGAGAGGAGCAAAAGTAACGAGAGTCTATGTGTGGGCAGGAAGGCAGGAACCATCTGAAGACTTGCAGGTAGCCCATGGTACTGGGGAGAAGGGGGCCACTTGGGGAACCCCAAGGGGTAAAGCCAGAGAGGAGGCAGAAGCCAGGTCACAGTCTTTCGGGAAAACTATTGTGTCCCTTGTTGACTTAATGGGATTTTCTCTCTCTCTCTCAGTGCCTCTCCCCTGCTCTCTCTCTCTCTCTCTCAAAAAAATAAATAAATAAATAAACATAAAAAAACAAATAAACATTAAAAAGATAAAACATATTGTTTACAGAGCTATCTGTAAACATATGAATGCATTCAGCTCTGATTAAGAACTACATGTCTATGGCATAGGAGTTGTCATGGTCCGGGCGAGAAGGACCGGGAGTCATTCCTTCTCCCAACCCTCAGGCTGTTTTTGAGAACCTCTGATTTTGGTTCTACCTACCCCTTGCAGACTTTGTGATGCACGAGATAGGCAAGGTCCTAGCACTTAGGGAGCTTACATCTTAGTGCATGGAGGCAGACAAGAAAGAAATAAACACATATAAAATCAAGACACTTTCCAATAAGAGTAGTGCTATGTTAAATTGGCCCATCAGGGAAATTCACCCTGAAAAGCTGCCAGTTGAAATGCCAGCCTTGGGAAGATTTGGTGCCAAGATGTTCCAGAGTGATGGAACAGCAAGTGCAAAGGCCCTGAGGCAAGAACATGTTTGTATATTTAGGAACAGAAAGTAGCTGGTGTGCTTGGGCGGCAGTGGAGCTGGGAGTAGACGTAGCAGAGGCTATCAGCTAGGGCAGTGGAGGCTGTGGAAGGAGTTTGGCTTTTATTCTGCAAATAGTTTACTGGAAAGCCCTGAAAACTTGGTCTCCTCTCAGCCAGATGTTGAAGGAATAGATCAGAACAGGTCACCCAAATGGCCAGATCCGGGAAGGTCTTACTGATGTCTCCCCTGTAACTTCCTCCAGTTGCAAGAATGTCTTGAGTGAGGGCACAGATGATGTGTGTTCACACAGCCTTTTTCCCCACCGTGTCCCCAGCACCTCACATGGTCCATGGCATTGGATCAGCGAGTGAATGTGGAGGGAGGGGTCATCATCATTAGTAGGAAAACCCAGGTTTCCTACTTCCTGCTTCTGGGACATACTGAGTTCTAGTCTCTCCAAAAAGAATTTAGGTGGATCCTGTTTGGGCAAGTCTAGTGGGGGCCAGGATCACACTAGAAATTTCTGCTGTGCTTTATGAATCTGCCACAACCTGCCAGGCCACCTGCTTCCTTCCTTCTTTCCAACTCCACATCAATTCTGGCAAATGATTATCCTTCCGACTCAAATCACCCTTACTTCTTTTTTTTTTAATGTTATATTTATTTCTGAGAGAGAGAGAGAGACAGCGTGAGCAGAGGAGGGGCAGAGAGAGAGGGAGACACAGAATTCAAAACAGGCTCTAGGCTCTGAGCTGGCTCTCAGCACAGAGCCCGACGTGGGGCTCGAACCCACGAACCGCGAGATCATGACTTGAGCTGAAGTCGGATGCTTAACCAACTGAGCCACCCAGGTGCCCCTCAAATCACCCTTACTTCTTACCCTAGATTTGAAGTCTGTGGTCTGTAGTATTAGCATTCCCCAAAGCCTGAGCTCTTCTTCCATCCTCACTGCCCAGCTCACTGCCGCCCACACTCTCCCCCTGCTATGTCCTCAGGGTAGTTCTCCGGCTGGGATCCTGGTGGACGCCATGTCTCAGAAACACCTCCAGATCAACCAGACATTTGAGGAGCTGCGCCTGGTCACGCAGGACACAGAGAATGAGCTGAAGAAGCTGCAGCAGACTCAGGAGTACTTCATCATCCAGTATCAGGAGAGCCTGAGGATCCAGGGTGAGGCCAGGGCCGCCTGGGCGCTGTGTGTCAGGAGGGCAGGAATGACGACCACTTTGTGAGCTCCTGCGAGGTTGGGGCTGTGTCAGTGTCTGTGTCCACAGAAACCTTTCCCAAAACTTTAGAGAAGTAATGGGCTCTGTGATTGAGCCCCTGTTAGTGGCCAGGCTCCCGGCCAAACCCTTTGTGTGCAGTTTTTCAATCCTTCCTTTACAACAGCCCCAGGAAGTAGGTAGCTGTATTAGCCCTGTTTTGCAGATGACAAAACCGAGGTCCCAAGAGAACAAGTAATTCGGCCTGGACTGCTTATAAGTTGCAGAATTGGGGGTGCCTGGCTGGCTCAGTGGGAAGAGCCCACGACTCTTAATCTCAGGGTTGTGAGTTCGAGCCCCATGTTGGGTGTAGACATTACTTAAATAAATAAACTTAAAAGAAAATAAGTTGCAGAACTGGATCTCAACTAGAGATAGGTCATAAAATCCCTGTAATTTACTAAATAATATTCTCTCACTACTTGTCAGTATTCAGCGCCTATTTCAATGAATGAATGAATATGGACAATGTGTTCCCCATTCCGAGGGAGGACTTAGGTTGGAAGTCTCCTGGTTGATCCAGGCTGGGGAGAAGTAGCTCCTTCTTTTTTTTTTTTTTTTTAAATTTTTAATGTTTTATTTATTTCTAGGAGAGAGAGAGAGAGACAGCGTGAGCAGGGGAGGGTCAGAGAGAGAGGGAGTCACAGACTGAAACAGGCTCCTGGCTCTGAGCTGGCAGTCAGCACAGAGCCCGACGCGGGGCTCGAACCCACGAACTGCGAGATCATGACCTAAGCAAAAGTCGGACGCTTAACCGACTAAGCCACCCAGGCACCCCAACTCCTTCTTGAGCCTCCCTGATAGGAGATGGAGTTGGAAGGAAGAGATTACAGTGGAAAATTCTCCTGTCTCCCAAGGCTGTAGTTTGCCAATGGCTGTCATAATAAGTGTGTGGGGAAAGAAAATTTAACTCAGAACCAATTAACTCCTGGTAAAATTTGAGACTTGAGACATGGCCCATCTTCGCCCAACTCCAGACTGACCCCAGAGCTGTTCTATCCCATCCTAGTGAGAATTAGGATATCAGGTAGCCTTTGCTTTTGTTCCTCTTTCTCTGCCTTCTTAAGATAAAACCTTAGGTCATTGAGTTTAGACCTTTCTTCTTTTTTGATATGTTTATTGAGAGCTTTAAATTTCCCTCTAAGCAATGCTTTAACTACATCTCATGAGTTTAGATATGCTGTACACTCATTATTATTCAGTTTGCAATATTTTCTTTTTTTAAAATTTTTTTTATTTTTATGTAATATCTGCACCCAACACGGGGCTCAAACTCACAACCTCAAGATCAAGAGTCACATGCTACACTGACTGAGCCAGCCAGATGCCCATTTTGAAATATTTTCTTTTTTAAAAAATTTTTAATGTTTATTTTATTTTATTTTTGAGACGGAGAGAGACAGAGTATGATTTGGGAAGGGGCAAAGAGAGTGGAAGGCACAGAATCTGAAGCAGGCTCCAGGCTCCAAGGTGTCAGCACAGAGCTCAACGTGGGGCTCGAACCCACAAACCGTGAAATCATGACCTGAGCCAAAGTCAGATGCTTATCCACCCAGGTGCCCCTGAAATATTTTCTAATTTCCTTTCTGAATAATTATATTACCCACACATTATTTAGAAGTGTATTGTATCTTAGAAGTATATATTTGGGGTTCTTTTTCTACATGTCATATCATTGATTTCATTTGTGTTTTATTATTGAATTCCACTATTGTCAGAGCACATAACCTGTATGATCTCAATTCTTTTAAATTTAATGAGCCTTGTTTTATGGCCTAGTTTATACTCTAAGCTTGGTGAATGTATCTTGTGGGCTTCAAAAGAATGCATGTCTTACAGTTGTTTCATTTAAAAGTAGCAATTTTAGGGGCATCTGGGTGGCTCGATGATCCTTAAGTATCTGGCTCTTGGTTTCCGATCAAGGTTCCTGAGTTCAAGCCCCACTAAGCTGACAGTGTGGAACCTAGTTGGGATTCTCTTTCTCCCTCTTTTCATGTCTCTCCCCTGTGCACCTGTGCTCTTTCTCTCTCAAAATAAGCAAATAAACTTAAAAAAATATATTACATTTAATATTAGTGGACCAAAGACCTCAATTAAAAGCAGAGATTGACAGAATACATATAAAAACATAACTCAGCTATAAGCTATCTACATTTTAAATTTTTAATTAAAAATTTTTAAAGATTTATTTTTTATTTTTTATTTTTAAGTACTCTCTATAGCTAACATGGAGTTTGAACTCACAACCCCAATATCAAGAGTCACATGTTCTACCCACTGAGCCAGCCAGGTGTCCCTATATTAAATTTCTTAATTTTTTAATTTTTGAGACAGAGACAGAGCATGAGTGGGAGAGGGGCAGAGAGAGAGAGAGGGAGACACAGAATCTGAAACAAGCTCCAGCCTCTGAGCTGTCAGCACAGAACCTGATGTGGGGCTCGAACTCACAAACCATGTGTTCATGACCTGAGTGAAGTCAGACGCTTAACCAACTGAGCCACCCAGGCACCCCTAAATTTTTTTTTAATGTTTATTTATTTTTGAGAGAGACAGAGAGACAGAGTGCAAGTGGAGGAGGTACAGAGAGCAAGGGAGACAGAATGTGAAGCAGGCTCCAGGCTCTGAGCTGTCAGCACAGAGCCCGACATGGAGCTCGAACTCACAAACTGTGATCACAACCTGAGCAGAAGTTGGACACTTAACCGACTAAGCCACCCAGATGCCCTTAAATTTTAAAAACTATGTACAAAGGTATGCTGTCCCAATATAGAAAAAGAATTCTGGGATAGTCATATTAATACCTTATAGAGTGTACTTCAAGACAAAAAGTATTATTAGAGATCAAGAAGGATATATCATAATTATTAGGGTATTAATCAAAAAGACGTAATAAATTTCTATGCATCTAATAACAAACCTTCAAAATACACAAAGAAAAATGATTTTAAAACTATTTAAAAACTATTTAAGCTCTCCTCCCTTCCCTGACCTGTCAGTATTTTCCATAATATGAGCTCCTCAACACATTGCCTGAGTCAAAGTAGAAGTTGAGTAAATGTTGGTAGGATGATTCTAGCAAGTTTTCCTCCATCTGAATCCATCTCAGACTGACGCCAGAAAAAGGGTGGCCCTCTTCCTAGATTAGGGAACAGGAGAATTCAGGCTAATGTTCTACCCAAAGCATTTGATGGGTTGATACTCCTTCCAATCCTGTTTTTGGGTTTTCTGTTTCCTATTTATGGATTTAGGTTTGATTCTGGTTTGGGTTTGTAGCCATCATGCAATGTCAGTTCAGTCTCATGTATCAAGTTCACCCGTCGGAAACACAGACTATCGATCTGTTTGTGCAAGGGAAGGCTCAGCTCCCTCCAGGGGAGCAGACAATTGCCTCGTGTCTCCTGGTCTTCCTCCCAGAAGCTTCTGCAAAGTGCCAGGAGAGACCTAAGTGGGTCACTTGCACAGGGAGGTCAAGCCTAGGTGTGGGACTCACTACCACCTCCCTTTGGGGGACAGGATTTCCGAGGTGGCCTCCAGACTTCTCTGCCGTGTGCCAGGCCTGGACAATATTCTTCTCTCTCAGCCCCAGAGATTGGAATCCAAACCATATTTCCAGTTGTCTTCTAGCTCTGGGCTTCTCCTGGCTGTCTAGAGTTGCTTTAGTCTGTCTGTCCCAGCATGTGTGTCCACGAGGCAGGACTGTCACCAGTGTGACAGGGCCCTCAGAGGCCTGCCAGGAACTTGCCTAAGACATGCTGATGCTCACGTCCTCTTGACTCAGCCCCAAGTAATGACACTGGGATATTCTCTTTTTTCTTAATTAGGTAGGCTCCACCCCCAACATGGGGCTTAAAATCACAACCCTGAGATCAAGAGGTGCATGCTCTATGGGCTGAGTCAGGCAGGCACCCTGACACTGGGATATTCAAATAGGTGATTGGCAGGGTGTAAGAATCCCAGCATTTAGGATAGTGGTTACCTTTGGAGGCAGGGATGGATGTGCAAGCAGGGAAGGATGTACAAGTAGCTTTCAATGTGGAAATGTTTAATTTCTTTTTTTTAATGTTTTATTTATATTTGTGAGAGAGAGAGAGCAAAAGGGAACTGAGGCCTCACTGACTCCCCCTTCCTGCCATAGATGAGACTCCCAGCAGCTAGTGTGGAGAAAAGCTGCCTCCCTGTGCTGAGAGAATCTTGCTGCTTTTATGCTGCCAGTGGGCCCTGGACATTCTGTCTCTCCCCCTCCCTCCCCTTTTCCCTCTCTCCGCTTCTCCTTTTGTCCCTCTCTCCCTCTCCCCCTCTCTGTCTCCTTCCAGTTGGTCAGCTGAGCTCATGGTGGGACAGGCAGGGGCTACCCTGAGGGGGCTCTGATGGGTGGGGTGGGGCTGAGCAGCTGCTGGCCTCTGTTACCCTTGAAGCCTGACCTGGAACCCCCTAATCAGAAGGACATGCTCATCCCTACAGTGTGTGTGAGCCAGGCAGTTCCTTGAGCTTGTTCTGTGTTACCACGTATTTAATCCTTAGCCACCCACCGAGGCAGGGACCAAGATGCTCCCATTTTGCACGTGGGCAGACTGAGGCACAGAAGTGTGAAACGATTTGGGCAAGTTCACCTGGTTAGTAAACACTGAGGACACACATCAGACCAGGCAGCGAGGCTCCAAGCTGGACTCCCGTGTGGTGTGAGGGGGTCTGGGCAGCCAGCTATGGAGACTGAGATGGGAGGGGAGGCCAAAGGGCAAGATTCTCCTCCGCTGTATGCTCAGGCTTCCATCTGTATGCTCCCAGGAGGGGAGATCAAAGCCAAGAGGCCGGAGACCAGAGCCTGCTCATCTCTGGCACCCCTGGCTGCTAGCACCCTTGAGGGTCTGGCATACAGAACAGCATGTGTGTGTCCCCCTGGGCTTCCTGCAGGAAGCGGGTAGCTCATGGTCATGGGTGTCCTGTCCCCTCCTCTAGCTCAGTTTGGCCAGCTGGCCCAGCTGAATCCACAGGAGCGGCTGAGCCGGGAGACGGCCCTCCAGCAAAAGCAGGTGTCCCTGGAGGCCTGGCTGCAGCGTGAGGCCCAGACGCTGCAGCAGTACCGCGTGGTGAGTGGGCTCCGCGTCCTCCCCTCCCAAACTCTGAGGTGCACATCCCAAGGGGTGCGGGGGACCCGGGAGGGGGCTAGAGCCAGGGAGAGAGCAGGACCCAGGAGAGCTGGAAGCCAGGTCCTTCTGTCCTGTGGGGTCACGTGAGGCAGAGCAGGTTGGGAAGAGGGGAAGGCCTGTGCCTGGGGCCTGGTTTCTGGCCCCCAGCGCCACCTCCTGAGGCCCGCAGGCTGTTGTCTGGGAGCCCAGATGGGCCTGTTCTCCCCACTTGCCTTCAGGAGCTGGCCGAGAAGCACCAGAAGACCTTGCAGCTGCTGCGGAAGCAGCAGACCATCATTCTGGACGATGAACTGATCCAGTGGAAGCGGCGGCAACAGCTGGCGGGGAACGGAGGCCCCCCCGAGGGCAGCCTGGATGTGCTGCAGTCCTGGTAATGGTGTGTGGGGGGCGGCCGGGGGCAGGAGGGGGCGGGCAGGGGCGCGGAGTGGTGAGACCAGCTGCTCATTCTGCCTCCTGTGTTTCCATGAGCCGCCGGCTCCCTGTCCTGTAGCAAAGCTTAGTTCACTAGGGGTTCTGGTTCCTGATACCGATTTTGGGGCCCCCATCTTGTGCCACCCGCCCAGGAAGGGAGTCACCGTGCTGGGGAGCGGGGCAGGGCTGGATGTGCAGAGTGATGCTCAGGCTGACTGGATCCAATTAAGGATTGCCGCTTCTGTGTCTCTCTCAGTGTTTCTGGAAGGCGGGAGCTCTGCTCTGCTCCGTGGTCAGGAGTGGCAGCTTAGGCGCAAAGCCTTCCTGGGTGAGGGTGGAGCTGGGTCTTGGGGCGTCCTCCTCAGCCTCGAGCCTGAGGGACGACGCGATGCCATTGTCCTTGCGTCGGCCTGGGACTCCTGTGCAGGTGCGAGAAGCTGGCCGAGATCATCTGGCAGAACCGGCAGCAGATCCGCAGAGCCGAGCACCTCTGCCAACAGCTGCCCATCCCTGGCCCAGTGGAGGAGATGCTGGCCGAGGTCAAGGCCACCATCACAGACATCATTTCAGCCCTGGTGACCAGGTAATTCCTGCCTCAGGCCACACCCCGCCCCCTCTGTGGGAAGACAGGTGGTGCTTTGCTGACAGTGGAAGGGTGGGTGGGCTCTTGCTTGAGTCCTTGTCTCTATTTGCCCCGGGTCCCCGGTCCCCTCGGTCCTCAGTTGCTTTATCTGTTTGGTGTTGACCTTGCCCAGTATCTGTTGTGGACACTACATGGGCTGCCCTCATCCCCCGCAGCCCATGCCGGCTGCTGAGTCGTTTCAATGCCTCCCCTCCAGCCATCTCCTCTGACTCTCGGTGGCCTCCCTGGAAACAGGGGCGGTGCCATGTGCCTCTATTTGCCTGCTGAGCCCCGGCAGCCTCCCTCCACAGGGACACCAGACCCTGTGCCCTGAGCCGGCATCACGTCTGGTGTGGTCACTTGTGTCCCAGCAGCACATTCATCATCGAGAAGCAGCCCCCTCAGGTCCTGAAGACCCAGACCAAGTTTGCAGCGACGGTGCGCCTGCTGGTGGGCGGGAAGCTGAACGTGCACATGAACCCCCCCCAGGTGAAGGCCACCATCATCAGTGAGCAGCAGGCCAAGTCGCTGCTCAAGAACGAGAACACCCGCAAGTACGTGTGTCCCCCTCCCCTGCCTTTCCCTGTTATGGACTGGGATCTCACATCTGTTCTACAGCTAGGGTCCGGGGCGTTGGGGACAGCTCGGCCTCCCTCACTGCAGCCATCAACCAGTGTCTCTCCAGTTCATCCTGTCTGTCCTGTTGTGTACTTTGTTCCTCTTGACACATAGTAGGTCAACATGCACTGCACTGTTGGGCTGTTCGAGTCTATGTGCTAATCACTGTGACACAGCTGCAGTCCATGCAGAGTTTGGCTCTGTGGTCACCCAGCCCATCACGGGGGGCATCAGTCATGAGCTAGGTACTGTGTTCCCCAGGGCAGATGCAGGGCACTGTGGAAGTGAGTCGTGGTAGGTGTGGGGCACAATGATAGGGACAAAGATCGGTGAGGGTGGCTAGTGCCAGCATGTGGAGAGGAAGGAGAAGGAGTACTTTCAGACACAGAGAACATGGGCTTTGTACGGAAGGAGAGCATAGAGCAGGCAGGCACGGCCGGAGAACCTGGGATCCAGGGATGAGGGAAGGCCCCCCCACAAAGGATTCAGGGAATGAATGAACAAATGAATGAATGAATGAGGGAATCAGTGAGTCAAGTGGGAGACCTGGTGCCGTGCACTGGGTGTCTCCCATGGGATCTGGGAATGGGGTGATAAAGAAAGCCAAGAGGTTCTTACTCTCAGAGCTTACTTACAGTTTGGCTGGGGAGGGAGATAGTTATATGCTTTTAGAACTGTGACGGTGTCAAGTGATAGATTCTCGAAAGGTAATGAAAACAGAGTGATATCATAATGTCTGGATAGAGGTCACATCACCATCTGGGTGGTCAAGGAAGGCCTTTCTGAGATGTTTGAGTTGAGACCTAAACCAGAAGGTCAAGTGTATGTGGGCACCAGGAAGAGCAGGTGCTCTTGCACGTTCAGCAAACAGACAGGCAGCATGACTCGATTGTCCTGAGTGAGGGGAGAGGACCCCAGTGAGGCCAGGGAGCTGGGCAGGGTTTGACCATGACCATGGGGATCCTTGTGGGCTGTGGTCATGTTTTTGTTTTGTTTGTTTGTTTTTTAGAGAGAGAGGGAGCAAGTGAACAAGGGGAAGAGAGAAAGGGAGAGTGACAGAGGGAGAGAGAGAAGTAGGGCTCACCTGAAGCAGGGCTCGAGCTCACCTGATGTGGGGGTTGAACTCACCAACCCTGAGATCATCACTTGAGCCTAAGCCTGATGCTTAACTGATTAAGCCACTGAGGCTCCCTTCTTTTGTTTTGTTTTTTAATGTTTACTTATTTATTTTGAAAGAGAGAGAGTGCACGAGTTGGGGAGGGGCAGAGAGAGAGAGAGGGAGAGAGAGAGAGAACCCCACACAGGCTCTGGAATGTCAGCGCGGAGCCCAACTCGGGGCTCGATCTCACAAATCGTGAGATCATGACCTGAGCCGAAACCAAGAGTTGGATGCTTAACCGACTGAGTCACCCCGGTGTCCCATGGTTTTTATTTTAAGTGCACTAGAAGCTGCCAAAGGGCCCTGAAGACCCCCATATCAATCTCAATGCTAAAGGAATTTTGAACCTAAAAATGGAGATAGAGACCCAGACTTTGGGCAGACTTTGAAGGTTTTGCTGTACTCTCAGGTTAATGAGAAAGTGAGCCCGAGACACAGCGAGGAACACTCTTTGGGACTGGGGTGCTGCTGGCAAGGCCTTCGGGCATGAACACCTGGGTTAGGGAGCGCACAGGGTCGTGCTCCTGGCCTGAGGTCCAAGTAGCCATAGCTCTCCTGTCCTTCACAGTGAGTGCAGTGGAGAGATTCTGAACAACTGCTGTGTGATGGAGTACCACCAGGCCACCGGCACCCTCAGTGCGCACTTTCGGAACATGGTGAGGATGGGGCCTGACCCCTGGAGGGAAGCTCTGCCCAGGGCTTAGTCCTTACCCAGCTGCTTTCTCCTCGTCCCTCTCTGACCTCCCGCCCTGCAGTCACTAAAGAGAATTAAGCGAGCTGACCGGAGGGGCGCAGAGTCCGTGACGGAGGAGAAGTTCACGGTCCTGTTTGAGTCTCAGTTCAGTGTTGGCAGCAATGAGCTTGTGTTCCAAGTAAAGGTGAGGCGCCGCTTCTCCCAACCCCCGTGGGTCACCCAGAAAGTTGAAGACCTACCCGAGGCCACCTGGCTGGTTTGGGAAAGCCAGAGAGCTCTGAATCCTCACACGGTCACGGACCATTTAGCCCGTGAGGCTGTCAGAAAGCCTGCTTTCACTCTGGAGGTGCCTGCTTGCTAGGTTATAATCTGGCACCAGCCACAGAACTTAGGTAATGGATCAAGAAGAAATATGTTGTGTTTGCTTGTTTGTTTTTGCTTTAGTTTTGTTGAGAGGGCTTGGGGGTGGGATTGTGAGTGAGGAATGAGGGCTGGGAGTCTTGCCTACGTGAGGGGAAGGTCATGGTCATGTGCCTTCTACGTTCATTCCTTTGACTGCCATAGACTCTGTCCCTTCCCGTGGTGGTCATCGTTCATGGCAGCCAGGACCACAATGCTACCGCCACTGTGCTGTGGGACAACGCCTTTGCTGAGCCAGTGAGTATTTGTGGGCACCACCCTCTGGGCCCTAGGAGTCCCCAACCACTGGGGCCCCTGCTGGGTGGTCCCCTGCCAACCCCAGGGCCATACCAGGGCTGAGGTGAGGTGACGGGCAGCTGGCGTGAGCCCCACTGCCCATGGCATTGACCTCGGCTCCATCTGGGCTCCCGGGACTCAGAACTGGGATCTCCTAGGTCTATGAGCTTCCTCAGCTTTTGGGCTCTGGTGTCTGATCTTCCCTCGGCTTGTGTTTTGCGTCCACGATCTCTGTCTCAGACGGCTGGTCTGGGCCTCTATCCCTGCATGTCCCACCCCTCTGCCTTTCTTTGGTTTGTGTTTGTGTCTCCTTTACTTTCTCAGTCCCTTCTTCCATTTCTTGGTGTGTGCGTGCGTGTGTGTGTGTGTGTGTGTGTGTGTATGTGTGTGTATTTCCTATTCCTTCAGTCTGCCTTTTTCTCCTCTCCCTCTCAGGGCAGAGTGCCATTTGCCGTGCCCGACAAAGTGCTGTGGCCGCAGCTGTGTGAGGCGCTCAACATGAAATTCAAGGCCGAAGTGCAGAGCAACCGGGGCCTGACCAAGGAGAACCTCGTGTTCCTGGCACAGAAGCTGTTCAACAGCAGCAGCAGCCACCTTGAAGACTATAATGGCATGTCCGTGTCCTGGTCCCAGTTCAACAGGGTGAGGGAACCGCCAGTCTTTCCCCACCTCACAGACAGGTTACTGGCTTCGGCCAGCACCCCAACTGCCCTCCCCTACAACCAGGAGAGACGAGGGCCAGCACCCCAGGGAAGGGAGGTGGGGGCAGCAAGAAAAACGCACTCAGCTCTGAGAGCCCAAGCAGGATAATGGAAGGAGCCTGGGACCGGGAGTCCGGATTCTTGAGTCCCTGTCCTAGATATGTTAATGAAGCAGCCGGGCCTTTCCCTTCTCTGAGCCTTGGTTTCCCCATCTAAACCTTTGGGCCGAAATGACTTTGGAGGACTTGTCCAGCTTAGACAATTCTAGGCACCTCCTACCCGCACCCCTGTGTCTGAGAGGCAAGAGGCGAGTTTACTTTCTGGTCCCTAGGCCCACTTAGGGGCCCCTAGGCTGGGGACCATGTGCATTTATGGACCTCTGGAGTGCTGGGGAGGCAGGGTGAAGAATTGGGAGAGGGTATTTGTGAGGACCAGAGGGCACTGACTGTTTCCTGGGTCACCTGTGATGATGGGGCCACACACCCTGACTTGGGGTTTCCTGGGGGCTCTCAGGAGAATCTGCCAGGCTGGAACTACACCTTCTGGCAGTGGTTTGATGGGGTCATGGAGGTGCTGAAGAAGCATCACAAGCCTCATTGGAATGACGGGTGAGAAATGTGGAGGGGCCCGGGGCTTGGGAGGGCATGTGCTCAGGGGACAGGGGCTGCTGGCGGGGGAGTGACGCTGTGTGCTCTGTCTTCCTAGGGCCATCCTAGGTTTTGTGAATAAGCAACAGGCTCACGACCTGCTCATCAACAAGCCCGATGGAACCTTTTTATTGCGCTTTAGTGACTCCGAAATTGGGGGCATCACCATTGCCTGGAAATTTGACTCTCGTGAGTGCCCGGCTTTGCCCACTCTCCAGCCCCAGGAGCCCTGCCTGCCATTCTCTTGCTCCCCATTCTCTACCAGGCCTGCATCCTTAGAAGGTTCCCCAGGGGAAAGATCAAAACTGAACTCAAAGTAGAAGAGCGTTGCTCAGAAATACATTCCCTTTCTACCGTTTTCCATTGTGGAGAAGCTAACCACTGACCCCATAGCCTCTGGAGTTATCAGGAGACTTTGGCAGCTCTGAGTTCTCCGTCCTCTGCCCTAGCCTTGCCAGCATCGACTTGCTTGGCTTGCTGGGTAGAATGTTCCCGTGGTCACTTGCTCGCCCTATGCCCAGGAGCACAAGACAAAGGGGAGGGGTGCAGAGCAGGCTAGTAAAGGCCCAAGTGGCCCTGCAAGCCAGATCTCAAACCCCATCGCCCTGACCCTCCTCTTGAGGGCGGTGAGTGGTGGGAACGGGCTTGTCCTTTTCACAGCTGACCGCAACCTTTGGAACCTGAAGCCGTTCACCACGCGGGACTTCTCCATCCGGTCCCTGGCTGACCGGCTGGGGGACCTGAGCTATCTCATCTACGTATTTCCAGACCGGCCCAAGGATGAGGTCTTCTCCAAGTACTACACCCCTGTGCTCGGTGCGTCCTTCCCTGACAGTCCCGAGCCCTTCCTCCGCCCGTGGACAGAACTCTCGGGGGTTTAGGCGGCTGTGACTCCTCAGAAGAAGTCAGGGGCCCTTTCCCCTCTAGGGGGCTTGGTCTGTGGCTTGGTGCAGAGCACGAGTAGAAGATATCAGGGCTCACAACCGAGATGGCAAACAAGGCCTCTGACCTGGCTTTCTCCCCAGCTGGGTGGATTTCACGTCTGCGCCCTTGAAGGAGGCGGCTACCGCACTGGCAAAGGAGCGGGGATAATCATACCCACAGATGGTGCACAACTCCTGTCTTAATCAGCTGCTCTCATGGCTTCCCACCCCTCAAATCTACCCCCACGTGGAGTGTAGGAAGCAAAATGGACAGGTTTTCCTCCTTCAACCCGTCTCTGGTCCATTGTTGGGTTTGCTGCTTCGTATTCATTCAGTTTCCTAGACAGGGGTGAGGTGGGGAGAGAGAAAGCAAAGGACCAGAAAAGGAAGGAGGAGAAGAGATGAGATTGAAGTCAGAGGTCCAGGCAGCTGTCAGGCTGGGTCTATCAGCACGTGTTTATGGGAGTCTGTGGGAAATCTCGTCCCCACTGAGGCTCCACAGTGGTGTGGGTGGGAGACCCACTGCATAGGGTAGTCTCCCCTTCTTGGGAGCTTCCAGACACCGCTTCTCATAACCACCCCCCTGAACCCCCCACCCGGCAGCTAAAGCGGTGGATGGATATGTGAAGCCACAGATCAAGCAAGTGGTCCCTGAGTAAGTGTCCAGGGTCCGGCCCTGGTCTCCTGCTGCCTCCTTTCTCCCTCACCCCACGCCCTCCCCGGGACCCCCTCACCCCTCACCACTTCCCCTCCCGATTATAGGCCCAGTGGGACCCAGTGCCCCCTGACCCCCTGAAACCTGGCTCAGCCCCGGAGAGGGAACAGGTGCTTTGTCCTTTCACACCCCAAAGAGATGTAAAAATGCCCCCTGAGCCCTCCCCAGGTCGGCTGTGGCCCTGAGGCCACTGAGGGTCCTCCTGTTCATCCTGCAGGTTTGTGAATGCGTCTGCAGACTCTGCAGGGGCCAGCGCCACCTACATGGACCAGGCCCCCTCCCCAGCCGTGTGCCCCCAGGCTCATTATAACATGTACCCGCAGAAGTAGGTTGTGCTCTCTGAGGCTCTGCGGGGAGGGTCTGGGTACCTGGCCTCGGGCTGGGTCCCCGGGGGGCTGGTGGACAAAGGGACCCAGAGCTCCTGTAGGTCTGAGACCACCCAGGCTGGGTGCCAGCATATGCCCAGGTGGGAGAGAGAGATCACCTGGTGAAAAGCATAAGCTATATATAGCAGGGTCCTCACTCTGGTGCTGACGAGCTGTGTGACCTTGGGAAAATTATTGAGCCTCCCAGATGCTCAGTTTCCTCATCTGTAAAATGGGGTCAAGAATACATTTCACGTGGGATTGGGGGCAGGATTGAGATAAAGCATTTCGCTCAGGTGAGGCTGTTGTAAGGGTGGCTATAGATGGGCTGGTTGTTCTTAGGAGTTGAGTGTTAACAGGGTAGCAATGACTTCTCTCCGGAGTTCCCAAGGTAGAGAATTAATTCTCTTCTGGGCTGTGGTGGCCACAGATGGATGTCTGGGTACAAAGGCTGCAGTTCCAAACCTGACTCACTTTGCCAGCCAGGTGGCCCTAAGCAAGTTTCCTAACGTGGTCAGCCTTAGTTTTCCCCTCCATAAAGTGGAGTAAATACCCATCTTACAGGTGGCTAAGAATGCGAGTAACGGGTAACGCGATTAAAAGGCCACTGTAGGTGGTCTATGACTGAATGGAACAGGGTCCTGATGGGCAGAACTCACTAGTTGTGAGTTCTAGTTGTGCAGAGGAGGAGAGGGACAGGGACAGGGGAGATGAACTCTCTGAGCCCACTCAATGAGGCAACGAGAGTTGAGACTAGCACTTGAGTGTCTCCCAGTGAGCCACTGACTGACATTTTCAACTTGGGGATGGTGGTGGTGTCCAGCCAGAGCCGGACCTCTTCCCATGAGGCTGTGGTCCGAGCGGGAGCAGGCCAGGGGCTGTGAGGCATGCCAGCCCCCTCTGACCTCCCGCTCTCTCTCTACCAGTCCGGACCCAGTCCTTGACCAGGATGGAGAATTTGACCTGGATGAGACCATGGATGTAGCCAGGCACGTGGAGGAACTCTTACGCCGCCCGATGGACAGTCTGGACCCCCGCCTCTCCCCACCTGCTGGTCTTTTCACCTCCGCCCGAGGCTCGCTCTCGTGAATGTTTGAGTCCCCCACTTCTTGGAAACAAGCTCAGTGTGAAGGGTTCATATTACTTGTGATGTTAGTATTGCTCTGCATATTGATGCCTCTGCTGGCAGCACATTCACATGTGCACGTGTGTGCGCATGCACCTGCGCGCGAGGTGTGCCTGCCTCGCCTTCGCCCTCCAGGGTGTGTGGTTGTGGAGGCAGCCACCACCTTTCTCTTCAGATCAAAGCATCCCAAGGGCCCGCTGGGCCTGTCTCTGTTGTGGAAGGGGCTCAGCTTCCTCTCCTCAACGCAGGCAAACCTAGTCCCTGTCGGGACCTTTTCTGCCTAGCAGCTGTTTGAATGAAATTATTCAAGGGGCACGGAGACAGGTAACGTCTCTAAGCTTAAGTTTTGCTCCTGAGTTAGAAGCTTCTTCGCCTCCAGATGTGCGCATATGCATTTATGTATGTGCATCTGCTCTCATGCGTGTGTGTTGGTCTATTGATTCTTTCGGGGGGGGGGGCTGGGGTTCCATTTTGGGTACTATTTTATACTTTATATAATGAATACGGACTCGAGACTTTTTGTGAATGGAGAGCTTATCTAGACCACGGCCCTCACACGGTACAGATGGGTCATTTAAGTCTGGTTTTTCAGAGCTGCTCTGAGTATGTGGCTTCTTAACCTCCTGGCGTCCAGCCAGAGGACTTGAGCTTCACATCTGTGGTGCTGTTGCCTGGTCCTGCTATCTCTTTTCAACCCCTATCCCTTCCCATCCACCGGGCCCCAGCCTTCTTTCCCGACTCTCTGCAACCTTGCTCGCAGGAGAGGTGGGAGAGGGGCAGGGACTGGTCTATGACATGGCGATATGGAGCACCAACAGGGGGCCGGGGACTTTGCAGGGTGATCCCCTCCCCTCCCGGAAAAATCCTGCAGTGAGGGACAGCCTCAGAGCAGCCGCGCTGCCAGCCGGTGGAACCTGGAGTGAGGGGTAAAAGCTGATCTGCTCCCCTCTGCCAGGAGGTGCACCTGGAATGGCCTCATCAGTTGCAGACCGCTGAGGTCGGCTTGCTCCCAACCTCACACGCTCCTCGCTCTGGGGCAGCCGGTGGCAGGAGGTGGGGAGTCCCAGGTTGAAACATCTCTGAAAGAAGGTGGGGATGAGAAGAGGGATTCTTGTGTACTTTGTACATAGGCCACACATTTGTGTGAACAGTGTTTTTGAATAAAGTATTTTTTTCATAAATTTGCTGGCGTGGCTCCTGGTTGGGCAGCCCTGAGTGGTTGGGGTGGGGGGAGGTGTCATTGAAGCTGGAGTTCTTTTGTTCCTTCCCTTCCCTGTGGCTGATGCTGTACCCTGTATCTGAAGCTACGACTGTGCTCCCTTTTCTGTGGGTTACGGGTGCCTGCCAGCCCTGGAATGCTGCCTGTGCTTCCCGGGAGACAAAACCAGGGCTTGAGGCCTTGGGGAGAGATAGGGCAGGAGTTCGGGGGTGTGTGGGGGGGTCGCCTTATCGGCTGCCGCTACAAGCAATCCTGAGGCCGCTGGCTGAGGGGCAGGCCAGTGCCAGGGGCAGCAAAGAACCTCCCTGTGGTCCCTCCTCCTCCGGCCTCTTCCCGGACACCAGCAGGTGGCACCATCCTGCTGCCACCTTAGTTTTCCAACCGGCCAACTCGAGACTGGGAGAGAAGGAAGTCGGGCGAGGAGGAGGGTCTCCCCATTTGGTCCCCGCGGAGCCGACCAGCTGCCGGTCCGCGGGAAGTCGCTGGGGCCCTCGGGCGAGCCGCCTGGGGAGCCAGGACCTGCTCGCGAGGTTTCTTCGGAGCTCAAAGCGAGGGAAGCGGGGGGGGGGGGGGGGGGGGGGGGACGGGGGGACGGGGTGCAGCCCGCCCCAAGGAGGCGCAGGGGCCCGGCGCGGGCCTGGCGGGGGTGGGTAGGCAGCCCGCTAATCTCCCCTTCCATCTCTGCAGAGGGAGGCGGCTGGTATCTCAGCCGGCGGCGGTCTCCATGGTACTCGGGGGAGGGGGTGGGGAGACAGCCGAGTGGGCGCGCTCGCGACTGAATTATCACCACCGGCTGCGGGGCCGAGGCAGCCAGTTAAGTGTTTACGTTTCATCCCCACTGAGAGAACTGAAGAGAAAGTGATAATGGATCAACCGTGGAGGGGAGGCCTTGGGTGGGGTGGGAGTATCTACACCCCAAACCCCCTTAGGTGGCTTATCTGACCCCAGACAGGACGGTGCAGCTTGCAAAGGCCGAAGGGGGGGAAGGGGAGGAAGAGGGAACAGGGAGGCCTCCTCGGATACCTTTGTGCGGAAAGAGTACAAGCCTGGTTCCTCGGGTTACCCCTTACCTGGAGGCTGCTGGCTCCAAAGAGACGGGGGAGGGCCAAGGTGAGCGGCCTGGGAGCAGGGGTGGGGTTGGGGGAGGCCGCCGCAAACTGAGGCAGGGGGAGGGGAATCGTAGGCAGCCAGAGGCAGAGCTGCCAAGCCCTTGGATGGTTCCTATATAACTTTTATTTCTGGAAGTTAAAGTAGATACAGCAATATACAAAAAAAACAAAACAAAACAAAAACAACCAAAAATCCACAATAATATAAATTTTTACACTATGAAGTATACATTGGAATTTGATGCAGTGACCAGGACAGCGGCATACGAACCACTGGGCCGGCAGGGTGAGCCATCGATGGGAACCCCTCAGCTGGGCTGGGGACGGGCAGGGGGAGACGAGAGAGAAAGCAGGCAGGTCCTGGAGGGCTCCATTCTTTTGGGGGGGGGTGTCCAGAACACGTCTCTGCTCCTCTCAGAACTTTTGCTACAATGAGTTAAAACCAGATACACATGCTACCTCAAAGCCTGAACTTTACAGTATCTGTTCCAGAGAAGCCTGGATCCTGGCCCCAGGTCCCTCTGAGCTCAATCTTCCCTCCGTTTCTGAGTTAAGCTTATTATAAGCTGAAGAGTGTTGCTGGAGAAGGGAGAGCTCTGTACTACCTCCCAACTGTTTCTAGGCAGCACGATGGAGATAGCCGAGTGCAACCTGTTTGTCTTGGAGAGAAGGTCCTCATCCCTTTAATTCTGGAACTGGTGAGTACGGGCAAGACAAACAGCACTCCACAGAAACTCGGACTGGCTGAGACAAAGTGGTCTGGGGCCATCCAAGCTAGTCAGGCCTCTGGATCGGGGCGGGGGCGGGGGGTGGCGGCTGACCAAATATCAGAGATCGTGAAGGGTTTCAAAATGCACAGTAAATGGGAGCTGTTCTCCCTCATCCGTGGGGAGGAGACAGTCACCAGCACTGAGGGGGAGGCCGAGGTGCACACTCCCTCACACGAGGGACAGACTTGGAGTTTATCAGTTAAGCCTTTGCCCCTGGGTTAACCATGGCAAGTGATTACAGGTGCCTAGGGAAACCACCAAGAAACTGGGATAAGAACCGAATTCCCTGAGCTCAACTAGACCCTCGGCTGGGGCCCCACAGTCTGAGTCATGTTCGATCTCTACCTCTCGACTTCTTATTCCAGGATTCCTAAAGCAAACAGGACAAGGGGGCCTTTAGACACCGGAAGGAGCCATACACAAGGCGGGGGTGGAGGGGGGGGTCAGATGGACAGGGAGGAAGGAAGGATCATCCCATCCCTTATAAGGCACCCAGAGGAACAACCCAGGCTTTGGAACAGGAGCACAGGTCCAGGCGGACGGGGGACAGGTTGTAAGCACTCCTCTGTGCAGCCTTACCTACTAACAGGCCAACACGTTAAAGGGGAAAATAAAAACTTTGTTTATTAAAAAAGGTCTAGAATGTTTAGGCTGTCCTTCAACCTTCCTATTTCAAAACCAAAGGCTACAGCTTCAGATGTCTTTTAAGAGCTAGATCTGAAGCCCATTTCTGGATTTCTATAAATTATCAGCCTAAAGAAAGCCAAATGCCTAAAGCACCAAGAAGGCAACTGACAGTTTTCTTAAATACATAAAAGGCTATGGCAATAACAGTGTTTTTTTGCCCTTGAATTTTTTTTTTTTTTAACTTAAAAAGAAATCTAGGGGCTGTGAAAGAACTATCTTCTATTTGGACGTTAGCAAGGTTAAAAGTGCAATGCCGGTGGTAGCGCAGCGAGGTGCCTATGGCGGCCGCTCGCAGGAGCAGGCAGAGGGCTGTGCGGCACCGGGAGGTGTTCCTAACAACGCAAGCTGCCCAGAAAGGAGGGCAGGGGAGCAAGAAAAGACAAGAACATTTCCTTTTTCTCCCTCTTGCCACCCCTTCCGCATCCCCTGATCACGGTTCTCAGAGAGAACACGTTCTTCTTTGCATTTAGGTCAAAGCGTGTCTCCCACATTCATTCATTTCTCTATTGTGAAAAGTGCCCGGGTTGCTCAAAGGTAGCAGGAGTAGGGGATTAAAACAAAACAAAGAACAAAAAAAACAAAATCTGGAAGCACAAAGTTAGAGGAGTTTCAGACGATCTGGGGGTTGGCTGTTTAAGGGGTGGTGCGACACAGGTAGGTGCCTCCGTCATCTCTGTCTGCAGCCTCAGCCCGCCGCTCCTCACATTGGGGAGGTAGCGCACTCCGAGTTTAACTCCATGTCGAACGTGAGGGACTCTGGGGGGACAGACCGGGAGAGCCAGTTCAGTTGCCTGAGACCCAACAGCTGGCAGGGCACACACCCCGAGCCCTTCAAAAGACAGACGCTCGGCCACCACTGCCCCTACGGCCAAGACAGGGTCAGATCATCCAGATTTACTCTCCTCCCTACCAGGTCTTGCCTCCTGCAAGGGCTCAGTCCCCTTCCTCCCTTAACTCGTTCCCAACCGTCCACGTGTAAAGCAGGTCTAAGGCTGTCCCGTTGCACGTAGCAGCCTGGAAACACAGGAGGCTACTGAGCCTCCAAATGTGGCTAGTCCCAAGAGAGGTGGCTGGTGGCTGTAACACACCCAGCATGTTTAAAGACTTAGTACAAAAAAAAAAAATAATAAATCCCATCAACTTTTTCTTATGTGTTAAAATGCTAGCATTTTGGATTTACTGGGTTATAGAAAATATATCATTAACCTCCCTTGTTTCTTTTAATGGGGTTGTTTAAATGGTCGCGTTTACGTGCGTGGTGCGCATTTGGTTCCTAAGGGAGAGCGCGGCTCTAGAACCTCTTTATACCAGCTTGCGTGGCCAGCTCTGGGCTCTGTGCGTGGGACCATCACAGAGGGGGACCACACTTCCCTCCTAAGGACAAGGTCAGTCAACCAAATACTCACCAAACTGCCCTCCTGCTGAGGGTTCAGCACCTTCACCATTATTTCCAAACTGCATCAATGAATCTAAAGTGCGGGGGGACATCGGCAGGTCAATGGTATTGCTGCAGGTCGTTCTGTAGGAAATGGGGAGCAGCAGGAGGGGAAAGGGCCGGGTTGACAAGACACAATGGAGAAAAAAAAAAAAGAACAAAACACACACACACAAGCCATCAAACTCTGGTCTCCAACAGAAAAATAAAAGCTCAAGCTTTTTAAACACACAGGGTCACTCTGAGTACTACGCATAGCCCAGGGCATTCCAGCCTCTCTCCGGGTAGCTCTCACCCAGTGTCCTACTCCCGGGATAACTGAGGACACCAGAAAAGAAGGCCAAATTTAGAAGGGAAGCCACTTACGGTGTCACACAGATAAACTTCGTCTTCAGGTATGGGGCAGCACCTGGGAAGAAGAAAACTGGGGCTTACTGATGGTGACCCCACTGTGGGTGGAGGGCAGGCAGAAGCCAGATGCCTCATCAGGGCTGATGTGCACCTCGCTACATCCTTGAGCAGAGATGGCTTTGAACCTCCGTCTCCGCTCAGGGCTGCCCCCTCCACCACAAGGCACTATTTGATGTTCTAGGTGCTTGCAGCCTTGATAGTTGAATTCTTGCCACTCCACTTTCCGGAGCCGCAGAGACTTTTTAGCACACCCTTGTCTGCCCTGAGCCCAGACCAATGCCAGCCTTGCGTGTTCATTCTTTCCCTTGACGACGTGAACATCAATCTGCCTGTGTGTGGTCTGAGGATCATATTCTGGCCTGGTCGACTCTCTTAGGTATCTTGTCTGCACGCAGGAACAGAGCCTACACAGTCTGGGCTCCAACGCCCCAGTCCTGCTCAGATGCCGAAGTCACCAGGTCTTTAAGAGAATACGGAGATCATGAATGCAGTTCCAAAGCCCAGGGCCACACCTTCCATTCCTATGCCACTGATCTGCCTCTACCAAGTT